TGGCAAAAATCCCACTATGGCTTGTGTTCAGGGCTTTCAATTCTCTTTAAGGTCCATTTTCAGTGGAGGTGTTTATCACCATCATGATCCCCTGTGTGAACCCAAGCCCTGGGAGCATGTAGGAGCATCTGGGAATATCTGCAAGGAAGAAGGGAATTAGAAAACCATGAGTTCCTTTTCCTTTCTGTTCTGTTTTTCTCTTCGCACCCTGCAGACTTCAGTTTGTTTGACACATTCCCAACAGATGTATAAAGCCTGACATGTCAGTATAATATCCAATCATCAAGACTATGTAAGCAACAGCCCTCATCCCTTCTCATGCTCAGGCTCCAAAAAACACCTACTTCAATATTTTTATATGGCTATACTCAAACACATGTGCTGCATAGTTCCTCCTACATGAGCAATCACTGGGATTCTTCAGGCAGTAAAATGTAAGTCAGGTTGTGTAAGAAACTTTGGCCCTTACACCTCCAGAAGAACTTCTTTGTGGCAGGTCCTAAGGAACAGACTGACCCCATAGCCAAAAGAACAAAACCAGATATGACATTTACTTTTCTTACTTTTTATATAAAATAGACATTTACATACATTTTCTTTTGCAAAGACTCGAGCATAACTCCTTTATGTGAAATCTAGCCATAAATCCCACAGTGAAAAAAGCAAAGACTTTGCAAATTCCTGTACCACTGACACACATCCAGCTGCTGCTAAGTGTGAATTTATTTTCAAAAGATCTCTAATCCATGGGCTGTTTTCTTGTTTTCTTTTTTAAAGATATGCACAACTGATTAAAAAAGAATAGATACAGAAATAAGAACCATATGAACAACAGGCAATGCAAACAACTCCTGCGTGAGAAGAACACACAACATGACATCCACTTCAGGCAGAGATTTCTACAGTAATGCAGTTGTAGAAGCCATAACTTTTACAGAGGATACCATTGGGACTATTTTCCAGAAGAAAAAAATTTCATCAAGTCAGTGCAAACATGGCAATGAACTCTTGCACAAAGTTATCGAGATTACCTGAAGCAACTTTGCCACACTGAAACACTAGTGAATGCCAAGCGCGCTTTTTTGTTGGTTTTTTTGTTGGTTTTTTTTTCTGCTGGGTTTAAATGTACATGAAAGCAAAATGGTGCATTTTCAAGTTGCTGCAAGAGACTGAAGGTTGAGGGGAAAAAACCTCTAAGGGCTATTTTTTCCCAAAGATCGTGCATAATTGCATATATGAAAGATAGAAATTGAGCACTTGGTCAACTTAATCACATACAGATTGAGAAGAATTAAGTATATAACAACTTTTTGACCGCGTTGGAGGACAAGTGGGGCAAAAGATCATATAATTATATTCTAAACAGCCTAATTATTAAAATTAGAATGACAATTATCTTCCTGTACCAAATATTGTACACAGTATTTGGCCTGGTTTCTTTACCTACTGAGAAGCTTTCATAGTTTTCAGATAGTTTTAGAGGTTGTCAACCTCTCCTGCAAGTTAGGCTCTTTATTTTGGATTCTTTTGATTTAAACTTCTGCCACCCATGTGCATGCATGCACACCCCACCCCATCCTTATTGAGATCTCTGGAATGAAGGCCATTTGCACTGCTGCATTCACTTACTATTTGGCCAAAACAAGTTGCCTGCACATTTTTAGGAAAACCTAGTCTAAGGAGTCTGAGGGAGAGAAAATGTGCCCCCACTGCATCATTTACCCTGCGGAATGGAAAAGGAACAGAAGCAAAGAATGGTGGACTTGAAATAAGCAATAAAATAAAACAAAATCCATCAGCTGAAAATATTATAAATGGGGAAAGGAAAAAGCAACACGATTATTATGTTTTTCATTTAGGATTAACATGCACAGTGAGTACATGAGAGTCCCGTTTAACCAGCTTTCTGCTAATTCTCCACTTTAATATTGGTGAGCACTGAAGTTTCTCCAATACAACTTGCAGACAGAGGGAACTCTTCCCCCATCAGGTAGAGCTTCATCTGTTTATTTGTCATCTCTGCGAACCATGCTGAGCACTGGAGTTGGCAGAAAACAATGTATTTATAACTCATTATTTTAGAAGCTGTGCAATGCTAGAGGAAGAGAGCATTTCCTATGATTAATTAAGATAATATCCAGTTTATCACAAAGTAACTCGCTCTATTTATCTTCCACCATAGCATTCCATTTTGGTGGACGTAACCCATTTCACATCACACTCCATTCTCCTACTTTGCCTGCGATAGACCTTTCACAAGATTAATGTCCTGAACAAACCTAGCGCTTCAGCATGGACACCAACGAGACACGGAGTCAGCTCAAAACTTCACAAGGTCTTAACTGCTTTGGTAGCTCAGGGTCTGAATCGTTCTCCAGACATGCTGCCAGTTTGCAGACCGTCATTCTGCACAGACAGGGTATAAAGTGCTCGTTCAGGAAAGTGGGGTTCAATACTGAGCCCTCCTCTCTCCGCAACTACCATAAATCCAGCTCCAAAATGTGGAGAGTCAGCCTTTCAGCATATAAACATAATCTTGTTCAACTGGGATTAAACTCCTTGGATATGTTACCTGCCTTACTGAGGTGAGTGGATGAACACCCGCCATATCTTTCAAGTTGCCTCCCTCACTGGGAGGATGGTCTCCTTTTCCTACGTTATTCTGCAAGTAAGACAGAGTTGCAGAAACACTAATCCTTCTTCAGGATCTGAGAGGGGGGCACCCAAAGCTATATTATAGTTTTACACGTGCACTTGGTTCTAGGAGGTCAAGATGGCTTTGATCAGGTTCTAGGACAAGAACGAGACAATCATTTCTACCAGGTCTCTCAGGAAAGACAACCTAAGATTTAAGCTGAAGTTAAAAACACAAAACCAAGTCTTCCCCCTCACAAAGCACTGCTATAAAAAATACAACTTATTCTGTATTTGAAAAAATATGTTTCATTGGCCACATTTTAAAGCCACACTGCTGTGGGGCCTGTAGAATATAAAGTATTTATTTAATATATCTCTATGAGGCAAAGTTTATAGCTGATATATGTTTTTAAATGAGATATATCTCCCCCTACCCCTACTCCCACGCTTCAGCCAGCTGTCAGAGCACTCTGCAGATGCCTCTTCCATACTGGGGAGATTTGCATGGCAAGGCCCCGCTGTTGGTGGCTGCACCAAACACCCTCTGGCACTTCTAGCCCCCAAACTCACAACCACCTAGCGGTATTGCAGGCAGCCACCCAGCCCGGGCACATGGGGCTTTGGTGAAGCTGCCTCAAAGGCAGGCTCACCCTGGGGAGAGGCAGAGAGCTTTATGGTCCAGGTACCTCTGAATACCCCAGTAATGAACCATCTACAACTCTGCAATGCACGGTGGGGAACCGTCTGCTCTCAAGAGGCCATTTAGGCTTTGGTTTCCCCAGCCCATGGGTCTCTGCCAGCACGATGCATCCCTTCCTGGCCATTCTGGCAGTGCCAGGGCTGTGCAAAGCTACTCCACACATGGCATCCAGTGGAGCACCTGCATTGAGGACCTGCAGAAACACCACATCAGCACGTCTGTGGCTCTAAAGGTTATGTGAAAAGACAAGGGTCACTGACCCAGCTCCAGGACCTCAAACCTGCCCTCAGCCCCAGAAAGCAAAGTAGGTTGCTTGGCCTGGGGGAAAGGGGAAAATTCACCAGCAAAAAGCTTGCTTATTTCTGTCCCAGCTGCTCCCTTGGGAAGCTGGTCTGAAGTAAGAGAGCCCAGGAATGTGTGTCACCACTTCCTCCCTGTGATGATCTCTCCCCTCAACTCCTACCCAGCAATAGGCACTGGTTTCCTTGGCCAGTGGGCACCAGTACCTCCCAAGTTCAGCCCCATCTCAGTGGGCATACAGCTGTGGCTCTAGTGGGTTCACAAGCCCTGGCAGGGCAGACACGTGCACCAGCCTGGACTCCCTCTGTGCTCCAAATGCAGGTGGAATCATGTTAATAATTCGTCAGTAAATTATCACCAGTAGGAGCTAAACACTGAGCTTTTTAAAGGAAATCAGCGGAGCCACCAGCACATGCTGTCGCATCATGCTGAGCAAATTTGGATCTTGCTGAGGTGCCACGGCCAGCACCAGCTAAACCCAGGCACCACACGGGTCACTGCCACACAGGCTTTTCCTGACAGGGGTATATCAAGGCATCGCATACCTAATCTGAACTGTCCTTTAGTAAAAATGCCAAATCCCAGGCTGCTCTTCTGCGGGGACTGGCCACAATCAAGCTCAAATATAACAACTTTTACTGCAAGTTGCCTGCTGCAGGAGGAACAAACTGATGGCCTACCCTGATGTCCAAACCCAAAAGCAGTGTGACCAAGCAGGATCCCACTAGAGCTCTCTGTGAACTGGTACAAACCCTGCTGGAAGCAGCAGAAGTGCAGTTATTGCAGTGACAGTATGGTCCAATGTGCTCTGCAACCATTTGCTTTAGAAACATCCTTAAGGGGAGTTATTCAAGCACACCTCGGTAGTACTGCATTTTTCTAACTTCAGACAACAAAAGTCACGATGCACAGCCACGTGGCCAGCTGTGAAGGATACTGACCAATTTGTATAAAACAGAGAAAATATATTAATTATTTGATTATTATAGGTTAAATAAATAAAGCTCAAAAATAAAAGCCCCAATTCTGAAGAGAATTTGCTTTCCCACTTCAGTATTTAAAAATATAGATTTATGCCTGATCAGCTATAGGGCATTTTCTGTAGCTTTTGGGGGAGGGGGTGAGAACACTTTGATTAAGTGTTTTGTCAGTGTTATCCCCATGATAAATGGGCTTTGTCCCCACACACCCATAAAACGGTTGGATATGATGATCTTAAAGGTCTTTTCCAACCTAAACTATTCTATGATTCGACGATAAAAAAGCCTCCTTAGTAACATTCCAGGCTAGGAAATCTTCCCTAATCTCTCTGTGGCTTTACTTTACCTCCTATATTGATCAGATCAGTGGTTTGGTTTTTTTACTGGGGACTGGACAGGAGGACAAGTAATCCTAGAGTTTCCCATTGCCTTTTGAAGCTTCTGTTTTTTTCAGAGTAATCATTTGGCTTGGAGGAAGAGGGCAAAGGGTAAAGCCATACGTTATTTGACAATACTGACATCATGAACCTGAATTACTACAATATTACTATCTTATGAGTAAAACATTCAGGTGAGGTTTTTCCCTCAAAGGATCATTTGTCCTATTTGTAGAAACACCCTTCCAGGGTGATATTCAGATACCGCTTTCCCTTTCCTTAGAATAATTTTCACGCCACATTTAGAGCTGTAAAAGTGGCCACCACTTCCTCAGCATTAACCCCTTGAAACCTTTTTACATGACCATTAGGACTATCTTTCCCGGCTCAGAACGACCTGGCAGCACTTGCTACAAAGCTCATCAGTGGTACTTTATGTGGACGAGGTGAGCCTGTGTTGAGAAATAGGAGGTGCTATTTCACCCCTGCTCCAATGGATGAATGCTTTATCTTCATGGTTTCTCAAGCGATAACCAAGATATTGAAGGTACATGTTCCACCCACACACCTGATGTGATTAAAAGGGCTTCAGCCAAAACATAAATCTTGATTAAATGAAGGTTTTGATTCATTCTCCAGCATGTCCCACAGGAGCTAAGTATCTCCTTTAACTTTGGTGAAACACAAGCATGCATTCATAATTTGCCTTCCGTAATTCTGAGTTGTATCAAAGTTCCTTCGGCATCACTTTGAGCAATAGGTTTCCACCATACTCTTCTCCAAGGGGCATGGGTTTCTTTCCATTGGTGACAGAATGCTATGTCTGGTCTTTCTCCTGGACTTCCTGAAACCGTTTCTCCAAGCGATCCAGTTTGGCCAGATTCTCCTTCAGCAGCTTGCTGTTTGGAACCAGCTGTAAGGCTTTCTCATAGTAGCCACGGGCAGTGACGTAGCTCCCCTACAAAGAAAAAGAGTGCCAGATCTCATTCACATTTCCTGACACAGAAAGTTCATTCCCTGGGAACGGTGAAGACCGTAATCTAAAGGAGAGAGTTGGGGTTGCTCTGCCTGGAGAAGAGAAGGCTCCAGGGCGACCTTATTTGAGCCTTTCCAAACTTAAAGGGAACCTCTAAGAAAGATGGGGGCAATCTTTTTATTATGGCTCATTGTGACAGGACAAGGGGCAATGGTTTTAAACTAAAAGACTGCACGTAAGGAAGAAATTTTTGCAATGAAGGTATGAAACATTGGAACAGCTTGCCCAGAGAGGTGGTGGAAACCCCATCCCTGGAGACATTCAAGGTCAGGCTGGATGGGGCTCTGAGCAAACTGATCTAGTTAAAGATGTGCCTGCTCCTGCAGGAGGGTTGGACTAGATGACTTCTAAAGGTTCATTATGATGGATCATTGAGTGCTGTTAGCCTGAATTTGATCAAATACACGTGACAAGAAATAGATTTACATTTTTCCGTTATGCTGCACCAGAAGAGTTAATTTTACTCAGCGACAGAATAGCTTAAGGATATCACACAATGTGACTCCTTAAGACCAAATCATAATGATATGCTAAAGTATTCAAAAAGATAAGCAACCACAAGGCAGGCTATTTCCATAATTTCATGCCAGTATTCTGCATTAGACACCTTTATTAAATTAATTAGGTAGAAAGGAAGCTTAAAACTTGACTCACGGTGACACTTTCTAAGGTAGGTCAATAACTGAAGTAGAAAAACTTTAGAGATGGGCAGGTTGTTCCTTGAAGCCTGCCCTTTTAAAATATGAGATTTACATTGCAGGATACATATTCCCAAGCAACCTGGTTGAGAAATTTTAGTTGGGGTGGGCAGACTTTCCTCCTTCTTCTATAAAATACGTTGGGGACACTCACTGTTCAAAAACATGCAGCTCTTGGCAGTCTGAAACAAATTTAGCTTTCTGTCTCAAGTAGTAGCCTCTGCAGTTGACAGCAAAAGGAAAACAAAAATTGTCATACCTTGATGTGCTCAATGCCTCCCATATTCATCCAGGCCTGTGCTTGGTCTGGGTTGAGTTCCACAGCTCGTTTATAGCTCTACATAAATATGAAACATTTTTAGGTTAAGAATCTGACTCTTCTAAAAAAACAGTGCTGGAGGGGAAAGAGAAACCAAGTTTCCTCTCCTTCTGAATACAGTTAAAACATAATTCCAAACTCTTGTCATATACAATGCACAAGCTGAATTTCAGTTTCTTTACACCAGCTGTAACATTATATACCACTTCACCTCTGAGCTCATCTGGCAGGTTTTCCCTGCCCACAGCACTGTACGAGGAGCCACACCAACCCCTGCGACCCTCTCCTTGCCACCCTGCACCCCTGGGGTCTTCTGCACATCAGGTTCATTTCCTTGGGTAGGTGCCTGCCAACCAGAAGCCATGCATGGGCTGTGATGCTCCTTATCTGCAAGGCTTTAATTTGGAGCTGGCAGCAGATGATGCTACAGCCATTTGTGTGGAAGTTTCATGAGGACTTGAGGGCAGTCCTATAGTGCTATTCCCCCCCCGCCCCCCGCCCCCAACCTGAGCGCATGGGAGAAGAAGCGATAAAGACCTCTGAACTCTGTCAAACAGCACTATTTTTATGGTGTCACAACAGGAAAGGATTCAAATCAAGATTAGATATCTCCAGAGATATTGCGAATATTCAGAACTGCCCCAATAATACTCTGTGCTATTTTTTAACACTAATATTATTTCTGAGCTATCAAGCCTCCTGCTCCACAGGATAAGACAACCTCTCAGCTATCACCTAATGAGATGAGATATAACAATGTGGTGGGCTCTTCACCGGTCCCCAAGCTTCCAGCAGAGCCACCTGGAGTTGGCCATTGCCAGCAAGAGGGTCTGGGGCTGGATGGACCAAGGGTCCGGTCAATGAGAAAAGGCGTATGCTCCTTCATAATCCCACCACAACTCGTACATAACCTTTCAGATCAGGGAGCTGTATTTCCACACAGGAATGAGGAAAAGAGTTGCAGCTAATTCTGGCAAAGTTAGCTGTCTTGTAGCTTTAGCTGTACCACTGGTGAGCTGCTGAGCTCCCAAGGACAATATCCAGGGCACATGCAGTGGTGCGTATCTGATGCAATGAGTTAACTCTATCTTTTAATGTATAAAACTATCCATAAGGCTTACGGCAGTCATACCTCAAAAGCCTTGTCAAGGAGATTCTGCTCTCTTAGCTGGTTTCCTTTAGTGAAAAAGAGCTCTGATATGACTTTTGGATCCTTTGGTTTTAGCTGAAGAGCTTTTTCTATAGCTTCAAGTGCCTGTGAAAAAGCAAGATGACATTGTGTTACTGTATTCTGTGCCTTTCCACTTCTGCTCTCCTCACCACTAGGGCCTCCGAGCATAAGAGTAATTTTCCTTCTTCCCTTGTTTGCTCCACACTGTTAACACATGTGGAAATGAATTTTTTAGATGCCTCTGGCTGATGAGCACTAGGGCTGACAGCAGCAGGAGAAGTAACTGGTGAGAAAACCACATTGTTTAGCTTCAGTCCCAGTACCTAGATAAACAGAAGGTTTTAGTGAAAAAATAATTCCAGTGGATGTGCACAAAGGCACATGACATGTCTCTCATGAGATGGAGTGTAAAATTCAACCCAAGCTTTGTGTGTGATTCCTCAGGACACGGCCACCCTGCAACCACGTTACCTTGGCATAGTGCTCCTGCTTGCTGTAGATGGCTGACAGAAGGCGGTAGCACTCCAGACACTCCACATCCTCATTGAGTATATGGTTCGTCATCTTTTCTGCTTCTTTTGTCCGCCCCATCATTGCTAAAACCTGAGCCTAAGGAGATGGATTATAGAGGGTTATGATCTTATGAAGCTCAACTCTCCTTAATACATGATGCTGCAGCCGGTGGCTGATGCTCCATTTCCATGGCCCTGCCCTGGCCGAGCTGGCCCCACACTCACCAGCGCCAGTCGGATCTCTTTGTTTGAAGGCTGCAGTGATGCCGCTTCCCTGTAAACCTGCAACGCCTCTTCATACCGCCCTGTGTTGTAATACAGAGCCCCCAGTGGGGACAGGATTTCAGCCTTCCGGGATACCTTCAGTGCCCTGGAGTTCGGGAAAAGAGATGCTTCCAGGTGGTGTGAGGAACAAGGCAGAAGAGTGAGGTGTGGCTTGCGCTGGGATGAAGCAGCGAAGCCCTGCATCCTGTTAATCCCACCACGGGGAGCACAAATTTAGGATCCCAGGGAGGGATGAGCATGCCCACAGCAGCAACACCTCTGACCACCTGAGAAGGGGAGAGGGCCACCTCCAGAGCACAAGTGAGCATGCAGCAGAGATGGAGACGGCTGATGGTGGCAGAACTGAGGAGAGTGATGGCACAAATCTGGATATCAAAAAGGAAGCAACCCCCTCCCTCTGTCACACACACACACACATTCCACACTGCTGCATACCAGGAGTCAGAGCCTGCCTACCAGCACACTGTTGGAAAGGGCTAGAGTTCCTGGTGGTGCCAAGTTTTTGGTGCAGGCCTGTGCAGCAGTTACAGCTGTTACTGTTCTAGCACCCATGGACCAGATTTGAGTAGGGTGGGAGTTATGCTAACAACTTGCTTGTGCCACTGGGAAACCTCCAACTTCATTGTTAGAGCATCTCCCCCAGCCAACAGCAGCAGTGTGTCCATGCTGGGGGCGTGGGAACAGTCCAGAAAAGTCAACACTGCATGAGTCTGTACTGCCTCACCAAGCACTCCCAAACCCATCCAAATTAGCTAAGGTAAATCTGTTTGCAGATGGCTGGAGAAGGAAGGGAGGAAAACTGAAGCACAGAATCATAGGATCTAGAATGGTTTGGGTTGGAAAGGACCTTAAAGATCATCTAGTGCACTACATCAGGCTGCTCAAAGCCCCGTCCAGCCTGGCCTTGAACACTTCCGAAACATGCACTGACAGATTTATGTATGGCAGGCTCTTTAGCAGAGACAAGGCACACAGGGGGAAGAGGGAAACCTCTGTCTCCCATCCCAAATTCTTACCTCTTGTACCATGCTTCAGCCTCTTTGTTCTGCCCCAGGGAGCGGTGAAGCCTGCCCAGGTTCACCATGGCCACGTGGTGAGCGGGGCTCAGGCGGATGGCCTGGCTGTAGTGGGACACGGCTCGTTCGGGAGCCCCTAGAGAGGAGAAGAGCTGTTAAACTGGTACTTCACAAAAATCCCGTTGCAAATTCAGCACACAGTAATGCTCCAGGTTTTCTTTCAGCTATTGCCCTGTGCATGGGAACCATTCTGAAAAAGAAACCCTGCTGATGATGAGATGAAGACTGCTGACTGAAAACACTCTCCTGTCACGCTGGAGGGGGAATGCACCCCCTGTACTAAGGGCAGAAGCAAACCCAGAAAATGGTCTGGGGCACACGTCCCACCTCCTAGGACAGCATTGTTCCACCCTGACCCACTGGAGAGACAGGCAGGGGAGACACAGAGAACAAACCAACTAGTATTCCTTAGAACCTCACCAGAGCTGCAAATAATTTCAGCTCTTTCCAAACAGGGACTATTCCTCCCACTTCTGTTGCACTGGCCCTGCTTGGTCTCCTCGCATTGCTCAACAGGACTAGTAGTAGCTGCCAGAGACCAGCTAGTTCCCACCTCGGGGCAATAAATCCCAGAGCAGAGCTGTCCAGGTGCCTGTTTTGGAGGACGTAGGCACCACCTCTGTGTTGCAGAGGAGCCATTGGGTGGCACTGCTTCGCCGTGCGAAAACTGGCGCAAGCGCCCGCAGTCCATGACATCACCCAGCACCGCAACAAAATACAACACCCTGCAAAAAGAAAGGTGCCAGACCACTAGCCCCAAAGCCTAAATCTCTATTTTGAACAGTGTATTTTTCTTTAGCTAAATAATGACATTCCTCAAGAAGGACCTTGTAGTACTTTTCTCTGTCAGGGCCTGCTGAGTACCCACTAAATAAATTAATGGGGCATAGTGCAAAGTTCCAGAATTTCAGCAATGCGAATATTGTATTTTTAACCTCAGTGCTTGTTTAATTGGTTTGCACACTCTAGACCAGATAATCTCCTGATGAAAACCGATACTCACAGAGCTTTATCCACCAACAAAGCTTTTGAGTATTGGCATTTTTTAAGCCAAATCACTTCACAGTATATTTAATTCTGTTTCTAGCTGGAAAGCAGAACTTTAAAACAGCCTGCACATATTGGGGCACTAAATATATGCTGCCACAGGAACTTTATTTTCACAGCTTTTAAGACCTAGTTTGGTTTTCCTATGTATGCAACATAAAGGTAACACTGACGTTTCTTGGCACCTCCTTTACAGGACAGAGGAGGGACATCTGCAGGGAGATTTAGAAGATTCATCTAAGGCCAGCAACATATCTTTCATGGTAGGACTTTTTTCAAAACAGCCAGCAGCAGCCTTGATATTCTCCCACCGCTGAGCAGGCAGATGTTTTCGAAAATCTTATCTACAGCACACCCTGGGAAGCAGCTGGGCATGCACCTCAGTCCATAAGTCACCCAGTGCCTCCCTGGCTCAACCCATTACCTCGGGGTAATGCGCATCGTTAAGGGAGACACATGGAGTTGTCTATGACCACTGCAGAGCTGTTGAGAATTATGGCTCCCCAGAGCCGACACTTGCTGGAGGCTTGTTGCACAAAATCCTGCAAGTTAATTGGCGTGGTGCTTCACAGCATCGCCCTGTGCCCGACGGAAAAGAGCGCAGACTGCAACGGGCTCACTACCAGCCACTTCCTTCACACCTTGTCATGTCTCCACGATGGTTATTTACACATCATGCCTGAAGCAGCAAAAGTCAGTGGTTTGGTTTTTTCCTGTTGTTTGTTTTTCCTGTTTTTTGTTTTTAGGGAAGTGTCAGGGTAAACCATGAAAAGTTAGGTTTGATTTTGGCAGAATACACAAGTGTAAAAAATCGAATGTGCACTGCACTGCATCTGAACCACATTTTTTGGCAGGAATAGATCAGCTTATCGGGGCTGGGAAGCAAAGATGAGAACAATGTCAAAGTGAAATGACCGAGGATTTTTTATTATTTGCGAGCCTGAATTTTGCCAGGGCACAAACTCAGAACCTCAACCTCTGTTGCTAATGCCACGATGCCTTTTTTGCTTACAAATATTCATTTTCATTTCTTATTTACTTCACACTGGTACTACAGAAGAGTGATGGCTAACCACTAGCTCATAGACTAGACAGTCAGCTGCAGACTGATGGACACCACCCTCCTTTCTTCCCAAGCACCACCAGAACTGGGCACAGTGTGAAAGGGGCAGAACAGGTAGCAACCACACACTTTAAGTCTACAATATCTCATCAACAAGTCTCAGCTCTGGAGGGACCAGAGTGAGCTTCCACTGGTCATTTGTCAAACTTGGCCTTGCTTATAAACCTGTCAATAAAACGCAGCAATTACAGTGGCTTTTTTCTTTTTTTTTGGTTGTTTTTATGTGGATGCCAGGAAGTGCCTGAGCCCAGGGAAGTTGGATGGGAACCAGGAGCCCAGAAAAGAAAAGCTTTGGATGTCATTACAGAGATCCCGAGAAATCAATTCACCTCACAATACCTTAGGTTTTATTTTCACAGACGACTGTGGTTCAAAAGCCATGTTTGTTTTTATAGCGGTGGCACTGAACCTTTACAGTCAAATAGATGCTTTGTCACCAAGTACAGCTGCCAGTGCTCCCAAAACCATAAAGATCCACTTATGTGCCTGGGATTTGGTTTGATGTGGCCATGCTTTCTTGGAGAGACGACAGTATTGTCAGGGTGCTGCCCAGCTCAAATTGAAGAGGACAACTGCCTGTGCAAAGATGGTGAGAAACACTGAAGGGAACAGCCGGGCTGAATGCCACTGCCGCACAGTGCCTGCATGGATTACAAATTTCAGTGCAGCATGCCATCTCAGCAGCATGGGGATATTTATTTCCAAGCTACAGCAGAGGCACATCTATTGCTTTGGAAGCATTTGACGTCCTCTTAGATGTGTACTGCTGAATAAAACAAATCAAAGCAAATAAGGCAGGGAGGTAAAAATCTCTTGTTCCTTCTAACTTACCGGTATCAACCAAGAAAACACCGTAGTTGTTGTGCAGATCAGAGCTCTCTGGACAATTCTCTATGCCAGCCTTATAGACTTCCTCTGCTTCCTTAAGCCGGTCCTTAAAAGAGAAGGAGTTTTCTTAGCCATGGCAGAAAGGGTGTCAGCACCATTTGCAACAGACCTGCATTATGTCACAACTCCCTCACTGCACAGGAAGCTCGGGGAGCCAGCCCACTCTGTTGTCTAGGAGGCCAAAATTCTACCCCAATGCATGGATGCAATATAGCTGCTGTCTAGGACTCCCGAGCAATTCAGACAGCCTTTCTCCCATACACTTCCAATTTGTGAAACAAAAATAACAGCTAGAAAAGGTGGCTCGTGTGCAACGTCACCAAGGCAGGAAACACACAGTGAGAGGGGTCACGTCGGTTCTGTTGAGAAATATCTGTCCTCTGGGAGCTGATCTATTTTAATTTATTTGTTTAATGAATCTCACTGTCTAACTTTTCCCCTCTGGAGCTCTGCTGTTTGTTCCCTAAGCAGCGGAGAAAATACAAGGAACGAAAAGCTTGGTGTGTGTGACAGCTGGGGGATGGGGAGCTTGTGCAGGGGCATGAAAGAACCTGGAGCAGGCTCGGGGGCAATGAAAGAGGGGGGGAAATCCGACCAATTCAGATTAAAACCAGGAATTGTCAATGCATGAGATGCAGCTCACTGGGATTGACAGGACGTGCCCCTGTGCTGATTCCCAGATATGCTGAGCCCTTACATTTTGCATGGATTTCAAGTAAGTTTGTTGGTGCCGAACACTTCTGGATAACACAGATCTGTTCTCTGGGAACACCCTGTCCAGTCCCACTGCTGGACTCTCTAGCCTGAGTTATGGGCAGCCTGGTCCTGAAATGAAAATAAGGGCCTTGTTTGCATCGAAGAGCAACTTAATAAGGTTTCCATTTCCCTCCAGCAAGGCAGTGCGAGCCCACTGCCTGCATGCTTGCTAGCACGAATTATCAGGGTCTTTCTCCCTCCCAGTCTCAGAGATTTGCTCTTGGGTGTATTTATGGAAGGAAATCATGAACAGCAGAGACAAACACAGTGCAGAGGGGCGTGAAGCAGCACAGCCCTACGGCAAAAAAACTCCACAGCCTCCCAGTGACGGTCCCAGGTGAGATCAGCCATCCAGGTCTCCACTGACGAAGGCCTGGAGCCACCAAGGCAAACCTCCTGTTTGGGAGCTGAATCCATGCTGAAATAAGAGGTCGGTCCATTCCCAGCTATGGTCTCTCCTCTCCTCAAGGCCTGAAAACCCTGGAGCCTCTGGGGCTTTCTCTGGGTTTAAAGGGTGTATCTGAGAGCAGCTTTAGCTCTGCAGCTGCTTAAATGTGTGGACTCCTTTCTCACCTCCAGTTTCAGAACTGGAAAGCTGGAATTAATCCCATTGGAAGAGTACAGCTTGATGAAAGCACACGTTTGCCATGGTTAAATGCTTTCACATTTACATGATAAAGGTCAGACTGCAGAAAAGATAGTGCATGATAAAACACGGAAACACATTTTTTAAAAGTGCTTAAGTTTGGACATTTTGGATATATTTGTGTGAATTTGACATCATTATCCCATGGGGTCAGAAAGACTGTAGCAATTATCAGAATTGACTAAAATGAAGAGCACTTTTTTGAGAAAGCATGTGTGTCACTGAGACATAAACAAGCATATTTTCAAAGTTTTCTGTATTAATTTCTTTTCCTCTGATTTTAATTTTCAGCCACAGAATATAGCTTTGTGTGCACGTAGGTCAGTTTTCTTCACTTTCTTTACCAATCATAAACCAAATCTTTAAAGCACTGAAGGGCTATGTTAAACTGGATGAGTGGCGTCCCTTGTCAAAACATTCACACTCACCAACATTGAGCACTTTTAGAATTTTTATCATGGTTGCATTGATTTTTGGCACCTGACATCCTGACCCTGCATGCCTCAGGCTCAGCGTAGAGTCTGGGATGATTTCTCTAATGAAGTGTTTGCATCTATGATTAAGCTCAGCCAGAAATTGGGAAGGGTGGGACCACTTTTTTTGTGCCAGAGCTTTCTCCCTCACAGCCTCTCCTCTTCTTGGGAGAAATACTTTAAGTTCATCAAGGCTTGATTCTCATCAACACTTCATAATGCCACTCCCAGACCTTCATGGAACATTCATCAACCTCACAAAATTCAGAAGATTGGCTTAAAAATGTATGAGACTTTTATGATATTAAAAAAAATTATGCATGTAAGGATCTTGCAGTTGAGCTCTAGGGGTTTTATGTCTGTTTTTTTTATGGCTCTGTTTTTCAGTCTGGTTGTGCCTGAGTAGGCTCTCCTCTGCAGCTAAGTGGGTTAAAAAGTTTCTTTTTCTCAGTCTTGGTTGATATTATTACACACACACAAAATCACTCAAATCCAGAAACTAGGGCCTGAAAAGAGCCATCAAATAGCACAAGATGGCTGATGAAAATTCAAGAGCTGGGAAGAAGGTGCTGTTCAGAGTAAATCCTGGGGAACCAGTATTACAGGAGTGTTGTGAAAATGGCAAACAAAAATGTTTGATTTCTGCTATTAGCATCACTGCAGCGATCATGGAAAACAAGGAACAAAACAATACATTGTGATCAAGTTATGATACCAAGCAGAAAGAGCAGTAAGAAGGGCAAGCCATTTATGAAAGGCACAAACAAGTCTTACAAAATGTGGCGGTGTTCTTTTCCACATCAGCTCTGGTTTCAGAATCAACAATCAAGGAGAGAAAAGGGCAACTACATCAAGTTACAGGCTAATTCCCTGGCATGTGAGACACTCCTCTTAGGAGCGCTTTTTAGAGGTGTAGGAGGAAAGGACTCACAAGCCTTATTTTGGATTCATCACCTTTAAGATAGGAGGTAACATGCTGTGCAGAACCAAGGCAATCCTGGCACTATTTCACTGAGCTGTGTCCACCCATCTCCCCCTTCTTAGCATTAGTGCAAAGCTGAAGGAGCAGTGGTTTGTCATGGACACAGTCACGTCATGCAAGTTATTTTAGCATGCCACTTAGGGCACTTCAGCCCCTTTCTATCACATCCCAGTGAAGAAGGAACCAGGTTGTGCTCCCCAAAGCTCCACAGAGATGCTGCTGATGCAGCTTTCTGCATACTAACCGGCATCACAGACAGCCCTCCAGCTGTGAGACAGACCCTGGGCCACAAGTAGACAGAAAAACAGGTTTGTAACTTTTAGCCATTTTGGACACTGCTGCTTGGACAAAGAGTACAACCAAAAATTGGAAAAAAATGGGGTCTTGTCATCATCCTTTGGGCTGAAGATGCCAAAGCTTCCCCCCATACCCCTCCAGGATGGACACAGCATTAGAGCGTGGTTCTGCTCCACAGCCATGGGCTGTTCATGGACGGTCCCTATTGCGATGACTAGGATAGGTGTGCAAGGCAGGAGCTGTATGATCAGGTAGTCATTTGTTGTGGCTGAACATAAAGTGGTCTTAAAAGCCTGCAGGAAATGGCTATTTTCTGAGGAAATTGTACTAGCTTTTTTCCCCCTACCACTTAGGTCACAAGAGGATGAAAAATCTATACATAAGAGTAGATGAATTATTGCTGGAGTTACTAATGGCATTTGCTTTGGGCAGAAGGCCTCAGGACCCTATAATGATTTTACTGCTCTGTTGACCTTACAATCGATGGCTCTAATTAATAATTTCAGTTAATATTAAAACCAAGTATTACTGCAGAGGACTCATTTCCTACACTTGCAGGAGACTCTTCATTGATGGACTTATTCAAAACACAGTTCCCATTCAGTGAGACTCTTCTTTCAATACATACACTGTACTTCTAGGTCCCTGCAGCTAATACTGGTAATATTAAAATATTTGAAAGTCACTTAAAAGCAAAAATAACACATCTTCCATTAATCCACATATATAATCAGTGAGTTTTGCAGAGAAGTCTAAACCAGAATAACACCCCTGCGTATACTTTTGCTGAAATTTATCCACTTCCCTTACAGAGAGAAGATTTCACTAATCAGATCAATGGAAGACGGTGAAAAATTATATTCTTTTGCTTTATCTGTATTTGCATTTGGCAACCTTTTAAGAAAACTTTAACCCCTGTGCTATGGAACAGTTAGATCTGAAAAATGAGGGAGAAAAAAAAATCGGTTTTCAAAAAATCAGTTTTCAAAAGAAACACAGTTTGTGGAGGTGTGCTGGAGCTGTGCAGTTATGAAGACCTCGTCACCCATGTCTGTAGCCCCAGACTGGGGATGTTGATTGTGGCCACAGTCCAAGAGACAGCCCAAAGCACAGCATTCCTCAGGCATGCAGGAAAGCAAGGCTTGGTGGTCTTGACTTGGGCACCCATGCTTTGTGGCTTCTGAACTCAAGCATTTTGTGCCTCGATTTCCCTTTTCCTCTATGGGATCAATAGGCCACCTCACAGGGACCTTGTAGAAATAAATGACCTAGCTACAGAGAGCAGGGAGAGCCTTGAATAATGAGCATGGAGAACAAGCCCAAGAGGAAATGAGTAATCCTGCCTCCAGAGCACAGCCCGGGCCATGCGCAGTAAATAAGGCCTGAGGGCACATATTGAAGAATGAGGTTAAATAAAATATTGAACAGCTGTTCATTAAGAGCAACATTAAACTACTGAGCCTTCCCACCCCCTGTATATGATCATCTACCACAGTAATTAAGGGCCGTATTTCGACGTGTGCATGCAAGGGCAGGATTCGGGCTGCAGAGGCCACCTGGTTTCTGACATTTTCTAGATTTGGAGTGATTTATTAAGAAATCTCAAGGTTACTTAGATAGGTGTGTGTGTCTGAGGGGGCAGCGCTCGCCTGTTCTGCTGTCACAACATTCAAGGTACGATGGATTACAACTTTGCCATAGATGCGGGGAGCTGCAGAGAGGGTATTTACTCACAACTTCAACTGTGATTTAATTCAAGGCCACATCACGTGGGTGCAATTATTCACTGCAAATGAGTTGCCTCCCATCCTGAAAAAGCCGTCTCCAAAGCAGCTTGAGAAGTCTCTGCGGACAGACACGGACCCACACCACACACGTGCGACGTGATGATGCTCTCTTGGGATGTGCAGTAGCTGTCACGGCTGCAGCAGCATGAACACTGGCACAAAAGGAGGAAGAACTCAAGTGATGCCTGTTACCTGTTCAGCTAGCAGCGAGGCCAGGCTCGAGTAAGCATCTGCAAACTCTGGGCCGTACTTAATGGAGTCCCGCAGCAAGATTACAGCTTCCTCTTTCTTCCCTTGGGACCTGCAGAACAGGGAAGGAGGGAAAAAAAGAGAGAAATGTTCCTGTAAGCGCATGTTTAGGTTATACGACTGATTAACTGCTCTAAAGAGATGTGACCTTTTAGAAAAAGACTGAATGATTGACTCATGCCTCCTCTCCACAGTGTGCATACTCAGCATCTCCTTGGCCCATCGCTGTTTCCATATGTTACTCTCAGGAGCTGGGAGGACGTAGGCTTTAATGAATCAGTCGTTTGATCTGCTATTCTGGTGACTGTCATACTGAGCACTACGCAATGATCCCACCCCCAAAACAGTGCATTTCTCAACCTTACACACTGAAGAGCAAAAAGTATTTTATTTTGGCTCTCAGGCAAGCAGTATAGGCCACATGCTCCGTCTGTTGAGTCATAACCACCAGATTTTGTAAACTTCTCCAGTCCTACTGTATGTTGCCTTTATTGCAAATACATCCAATTCTGCTCCATCCATCCCATCAAGAATTAAAGATACATGAAGAACAAGATAGCAGAAGTGTCCCAAGGCATGAAGTATGGCACAAGACCCTCTCAGCAATGTCCTTGGGAAGTCACATGCCCTGTGGAAGGGATGCTGTTGGGATAACACCAGGTTTCCTTCCGGACGTCTGGCCTCAGTCATGTCACTGAGATGCTGACTGACCTGGGAACAGAACATTCACTCTCACATCAGTAGGCTGGAGACACCAAAATGTTTGTATTTCCTTAAAAAAAACCCTGCAGAGTCTTTACATGTTCCTAGACAACGACCACTGTTAGGACTTTGAAATTAAAATATTGCTGTTAACTCTGCCTGAGATATCTAGATATTTCCTTAGGAAGTCAATTGTTAGGCTAGAGAAGTCTGTTCTTCAGATCCTAAGGATTACGAACAGAGCCAGTTGAAAGATGGCTATACTGATGAGTTAAAGGTTTTTTTTCCAGCATTGCTCTGCAATTATTGCCATGGAAAACAGAAAAGGTTTCCTGAACAAAAATCTAAGGATGTTTATTTATTTGAACTACAATTTTTTTCAGTACCGCTCAGTATTTCTTTCCTTAGAAAAATGAAAAGGGTTCCTGAACAAATACCTAAAGATGTTTAGCTGGAATACAACAACATTTTCCTTGTGCTGGGTGTACAAAGAATATGAATAGTAGGCTTTGCAAAAAGAAACAAAGGGCTCTGGGACACAGAAAATATGTGAACACCTTGCCGCTTTGGCCTTAGATTTCATCTGAGTGACATGGTCAAGTAACCAGATCTTGTTTATAAGGTGCAAATTTCAGATGATAATATATGTAGCTTTGCAGGCTTTTTTCTTTCCTTTCTAGTTATGTAACTGGAAGAATATTTTGCCTGTGCATTAAGTTAAGTAAAACCACTTGTGCTAGTCTTTTCTTTCTTCCAGTGGTGTTCCATATAAATTACATGAATGAAGCAAAAACAAATAAAGAACCACTTTTCTCCTACACTAATTAAAGACTAGCCAGCTTGTCAATTTATAAAACTTTTGGATCCCTTGGCTGGAGTTTCATGACACATTTTTATAAATCAAAAACAGATGACTGCTTTATAAAAGTATTGATGTCTGGCAAAAAAAAATGTAGGAAATGCCAGCTACAGAAAAAAAAGGATTAAGTGATCCACTCAGCAGCAGTAAAAGTTCCCATTAACCACAAACATGCACTCTGAACATGGGGCAGCCCTCTTAATTACTCTTTTTTTCAAAATTGCCTTTTTTTTCGTTTGATCCAAGAACAATGTTTTGTCTCCTGAAAGCGGGGGTAGAGAGGGAAAGATTATGGCATCTTTTTATGTGACAGACGGAATTATATTAAGAAAAGCAGATCCAGTAGCTTCTCAGAGGGCTCAGGCCTGCAAGTACTGAGAACTCTGGCCAAGCACTTAAACGCATACTTAACTTTTATGTATGCAAGTTGAAAATTAATTACTGGCTGAAGTGCTTTCCTGGATCAAGGCCAACGTTTTGCAGGATCGAGGCCGTGGCTTGTATAAATCTCATGCAATCTGTGAGAGCACAGAGCACTGGAAGAACAGTCCAATACACTAATTTACTGTAAACTGGGGATGTGGAGCAGGAAAAGCTAGGTAATGTATACCTTTGCTGTGACAGACAGAGGAACAAATTCAACTGACATGAAGAGTCTATGATCACTTAATCCAATTTTTCCCAAAATTACCTTGCCTTACAGTGCCTTCTCCCAACTCCCTCTTCCACTTGAGCCCCCAGCCACTCATCCTCTATAAAATCAGTGTGTCTGAGTTGACAGCAAGGAATGGGTCTTTCCACCAGGAGCAACTCTCCCATATTTTTGCAACAACAAGTCTGGGGAAGTGATCCTTCCCCTTTATATGATACTTGTGAGGCCACATCTGGAGCAGTATCTGGCCAGAGCTGGGCTTCCCCGTGCAAGAAAGGCATGGACTTACTGGAGGAAGCCCAACAGAAGGCCACTAAAGAAGGTCAGGGCTAGAGCACCAGTTGCACTGAGGAAAGGCTGTGCAAGCTGTGTCTCTGCAGTCCAGAGAAGAGAAGGCTCAGAGGCAATTTCAGTCCTGCCTGCAACTACACAGTTGCAAGATACAGAGAAGCCAGAGTCAAACTTTTCTCAAAGGTGCACAGTGACAGGACATGAGGCAACCGACTCCAGTAGGAACATGTGAAATTCTGATTAGATATAAGGAGAAATATTTCTCACCACAAGGATGGTAAACACTGGAACAGGTTGCACGGCGAGACTGTGGCATTGCTGATCTTGGAGTAGGACACAGCCCTGAGCAACCTAATTGAGTCAAACCAAATGATTTCCAGAGGTCTACTCCAACCTAAGTTATTTTCTCAATCTACTGTAAATTTGACACAGCCAGAGTTTGAGGGTTTTTTATAAACAGGATACAAAGTGTATGCGATACTAAAGGATAACTACTGCAGTGCAGAGTATCCTAACCAGAGACCATCTAGAAAGCCAGACGCGGTATCACTGAACATTATCCCTCAGTTTGCTTCTTGGAATGGAAGGGAGTGCTTTCTCTAAAACATCTTAAATCCCAATACACATAATATCTGTCTGATGTTTTTGAGTATCTTCAGGCAGTCACACAAGCCCATGTCAGCACATTCATGTACATACATATCCAGAAGCTCGTATGAGAGAAGGCAGACAGTCCTTCCTCTTAAATAGCTGAGTTTTTCTAAACTTGGACTAAATCATGGCAACAAAAGCAAAGGATGTTGTGTGTTACTCTACATTCAGAAGAGAATCGGTCCTTTGATTAAACTTAAGATTTCAGTGAACGTTGTTTCTAGGCACTTCACTTTCCCCTTGAAAATGAAGCCACCCTACCCTCAAATCAAGAGTTATGAGTCTTTTCTTCTTAAGAAATAGCGTACTGCATACTGGAGTGCTTTAGGTATGGATAAATAACAGTACTGCAAATTAGAAGTTCTCTCCCATTCTTCCTGCAACAGAAAGCTAAGATAAATATTTTCTTCAAATGTTCATAGTATTTTATTTCTTGTCTCTTTACTGACTATCTCACAGACTATAAATTCGTGAGGTATTCTGAATTACATTTATCTCAGTTTTTCAAGCTGTATCTCAATGAAACTGAATCTATATAGGAGTTAAATATTTAGATAATGAGAAACTTCAAAACAAAACACAAGGAAGCAACATCAAGCTGCTCTGTGTCACTGACCATGGACCCTGAACGTGGAGAAAGAGATTTCTCAGTTTTAGGTAGACCATATTTTTGATCCATTTTAACTAAGAAATCTGTTGGCTTATTTAATTATCTACTTTCCAATATTTATATTAGGCAAGAAAATTATGATATACAACTTTATTTTGGGATATGTAAGCAAAACCAGCCACTACCCTCTAATGCTTTCTGAGAACATTCATCTTCTGGCACACAGCTGTCTTCATTACATGCAAACAGAAAATGGAAACATCCTTTTTCATCGAGGACTTCCACAGAAAAAAAACTTTTAAATCCCACCCTGTGGTCCTCAAAGCACATTTTTACTCAAGCTTAAATCACAAGCAACGAATGCTTAAATAGAGAGCTTATTTAGAGGGAATAACGAGAGGCAGATTCCCACACTGGAATAGCAAATCCATCCTTCCAAAATCCTGGAGTACCCCTTTCTCAGCACTCCAGAGGAGGTGAAATCTAATATCCGCCATCAAATTTCCACACTACGAGCAGGGGTGGGTATAAGGAACTCAGCACAATTCAACTGGGAATTCCCCATGCCAGACATTTTCATCACATGCCCCAGCACAAGTGGTGCTGTTACTGGACATGCCTTAAGTGTTGCATATCCGGCTTTTCCTGATCTGCATCATGCACTGAAGCCTCTGCAAAGAGGACAGAAAAAGCTTTTATGGCTTGACCGTTCATCCTCTCTCTGCCATGTGCTTAAAAATCACAATACTCTTCATAATGTCTCATAGCACAGCCAGATAGTAATATCTGCCTGTAATATTCTGCAGATTTTCATTTACTACCTAGATTATACTAGCATTTAGAGTCTGCAGAATACTGGTTGTCCTACATACATACATACGAAAGAATCATTTGGCAACTCAGATAGAAAACATAAATAAAGACAAAATTTTAGGAAAGGGGAACCTGAAATCTCTGCCTCGTTCCTGTCTGGTTATCTCACAAGTCACTTCACACTCCAGCATGGCTGATGATCTCTGCTAAGTTGATGAGTGAACTAGGAAAGGTGCTTGCAAAGGGGTTTGGGCTAGTATTTTAGGGGAGACATTCATATAGGATGTGCCTATGCAGCATCTGATTTACATATGTGATGAACTCTACCTATCTTTTAGCAGGTTTTTCAAAGCTGAACACGGAGGTGAGGACTAGTTTCCGTTATAATTAAAGCTACCTCTATGGCCAGGTACACTTGATTGTTTTGGAAGCCTAAAAAAAAAATCTAGAAAATGGGGTGAAGGAAAAAAGCATGTGGAAATTGAGTATTTTGTTTTAACAAGTTTAGCACAAGCATCACACAGCTTTAACATATTGCGATATATGGCACCACAGAAGGATGTAGAGCACATACAACCCAACAGGACACACAATATCGTTAACTATCACATCAGGAAAAACATGACATATTGCACACAAAACAAACAACAGTTCTAAGAGATTTTCCCACACATCTCCTTTGTGCTTTGCCAGTGCAACAAATCCCGTTTTCACCCATCTGCTGGGTCGTAACAGCCCATCAACAAGCCAGATTTAAGCACTATTGACATAGGACGCCCTGGTGCTCCTTCTGGTTTACACTCTTTTGAATTAATATTTTATATTTCAAACAATCAAAGAGAATAACGACTAAGACAAACACGAAGGATTAAAAGGACAATATGTATTTTTAAACACCATTGCCACCTAAGACTAATTTCCATCAACCAGATTTGATGAATAATACAAAGACTTTCCATTTCTCTTGTAATAAGACTGTCTTTACCATTTTCCTTTCCTGTATTTTCAGTAAAGCATTCACCTACTTTCTAGTTAAGAATCACTCATTTCCTATATTCTAACCTCAAATCATCAAGTTTACTTGTAATATTATTTCGATAACTACTCTGCTACCAAATGGACCAGGCAGAATTTCAGCAATCCACTTAACATCCTTCATATAATCTCACACTCAGAGTAACATTTCATAACCAGAAAGATCAAGTACATTTTGATGACAGTTCCACTTTAAAAACAGTCCAACACTAAATCCTAATCTGCTCTAAAAGATTTACCAGAGACCTACTACTAGCAAAATAGGTGCAATTTACATCAACAAAAATATATTTTTACTGCTGTAGTTTATGCATTTCTGTCAGCAAATAAGATGCTATCCTTACAAAAAACAAGTGGGTTTTTTTCTTGATGCAAAATAGTAATACAAGAATAAAGATACTTTACTTTTTTTTTTTAATTGCACCCCTAGCAGGTCTTATCACACTGGAAAAGCTTCTTGTGTAGATCTAAATTCAGTCTTTAGATATGGCTAGTCAAATTAATTTGCATGATTATGATTGTCTGGTATTCTCCTTGCTAAAAGCTGACACTCTAAATAACAATGAGTGAAATTATGAGCTGATTAACTTACTTTCTTGCTCAGTAGAGTAACCCTATAGGGATGTAAATCAGCTTTCCCCTTAAATCCAGACCCACCGGCTTTGCAATGGAGTGAACCTTCTGCTGCTCTGAGCATCTCAGAGTTAGGTGCTTATGTGCAAACCGTGCATCAACCTTCCATACAGCTAATGAGGAGAAGTGGGAACTAGCAGACAGGGATTTATGGATCTGTGTTATTTATTAGGTCTGCATCAGATGACTGTTTTTGAACAACATGGCTTGCTTCACTGGAAAGGCTTACATCCCTCTACACTGAGATGGGAATCTCAGGTGGCTAGTTGGGCTTAGCATCTCATTTTTGATGCCTGATTTGGAAAAAGCAAATTCCCTCCAGCTGAAACACAATTGTAAACAGCACCCGAAGTGATGTGGCAGACAGCAGAAGGATATCCAAACTACAAGCCTCACCTTCGTGGCTGGCACTCTTGGCTGGCAATAAAAAATAGTGCCATTCCTCCACTGGTTGGCAGAAAAACCTACTTTGGTGATGAGTGTAGAGAGAATGTGAATTTCCTTGGCCCATTTCTGTGTTCAACTTACTTGAGCAGGTTGCCAAGATTGAAGAGTGCTCGATTATGCTGAGGGTTTAGCTGAAGGGCCCGTCTGTAGTAATCCTTTGCCTCCACCACATCTTTGGTCAACGTCCCCAAGTTGTTGAGAGCACTTGCGTGACGGGGGTACAGTCTAGGAAAAATGCAATATCAAGTTACAGACAGTCATTAATTGACAAATAAAGCTGAGGTTACTAATGCTGCCACCAGTGCTGTCTGGTATTTGGTAAAGCAAAGGATATCAGCTAGGAAACACTGTTTTCCCTTCATTTGCTGCAGGTCCTGAGGAACATTTTCAACTCCCAATGAGATTGCAAATCAGATCTTCTCCTACAGTTCCTGTATGCCTCCAGGGCAAAAGGGAACACTGAACAGCTTTGAAAGCCTATTTTAGCCTCCAAGCAAAAGGCAAAGTGACTAAAGCAGCTTGAATGTCTTTATTCAAAATGTTTTTCAAACAAGCAAGAACTGCTTTGTCAAAAATATGTTTCCAGTGGAAATATGTTTTGACATATACAGAAACCAGCACGACACTGCTCAAATTGATCTGGTTTGTTATTTTTCAATATTTTGTTGGTGGTTTTTTTTAATAAATCATCTTTCCACAATAAAAGTGATAATAAAGTGTAAAAGGAAACTTGAAATCACCTGTTGAACAATGTTTTCAGGACCAAGTAAAAAGTCTAAAACCAGACTGCTTAACAGTTTGAATTCCCTAGGCTTCTAGTTGTACTCTTTTATCGCTTAGTTCAGTTCTCTTTTTAATTGATCTGTTGATCTTTACACCTACCTCTTTCAGTTATAACACTACATACTGGGCCCAGTGCATCTCTGTTAAAATTCTTCATGAATTAAGTAGCACGTCATGGTTCATTCAGCTGCTTAAATTCCCAAAGTTGAGCCCCTACATTAATATTTGGGTTTGTAGGGCTTTCACCAGAAAACTCCAGGGGCAAAAGTGATCCAGGCCAAGATTTAACACCCAGGACCCTGTGTCATAAATGGGCAAAAACTGAGATGTGTTACAATAAAGAAATAAATCTATGACAGCAGTCCAAGGCCAGCTGTGCAAGAAGGTTTGATGCTCTGATATGAAACAGAGCACAGGTGCTCACCCACTGAACTTCTGCAGATGATCACTTCATTTGTGATAGGGAGGAAGCAGTTTGAGATGGTCAAGGCTTTGGTTTGAGAAGACCTCACCACAAACCCGCTGCCACTGCAGATTTTCTGTTTCGGACAAGAACAAGTCACCTGACATTTCTTTGCCTTAGGTCCCTGTTCATGGGAAAGTGATGTGGATAATGTCATTAAAAGTAGTTGGCTATGACAGCCCAAGGTACAGCACAAGGAGGGGCATTTAAAAGAAGGGATTAAGACTCATATTATAGTCTGACTCCAAAGTTTGCAACTGTTTTTAATCTAAGACTTTTCCATGGTGGGTTGTTTTTTTTTTTGCCTGGAGTTTTTCATTATGTCAGTTCAGCCCTGGGATTTTCTGTGCTTAAGCAGCATGAATAATTTAGCATTTTATACACTGCTGCAACATTTGTATCAGTCACATTTTTGCTTCACAGCGCATAAGTGATTTTGGCAAGGTCTTACTTGTGGGTGAGGACAGGAACACATCGGGGAACTCTGGGAGAAATGGGCAGGCACCGATAACAAGCTCAGGGTGCTTCCTACAACTAAGAGAAGAGCCCAAAGCCCTTTTTGCCACGCAACACCATGTCTAGCAGACAAGGACTGCAAAGACACATAGTTAAGGAGAGATCATTCAAGGGTGTATCCACATGTTTTTTACAACTTAGGCTGTTATACTGACAAAAAATAAATGTAGTGACCACAATTCATAGTAATTAACAACAGCAGACTGTGAACATCCTTTCCATACAGATAAGGGTCCCACCTCTCATTTACACTTAGAAACACAGAATCATAGAACAGTTTCTGTTGGAAGAGACCTTCAAGATCATCAAGTCCAACCTTTGTCCTAGCCCTATCAACACCACTAAACCATGTCCCTCAGCACAACACCTACTCGGCTCTTAAACATCTCCAGAGATGGGGACTCAGCCACCTCCCTGGGCAGCCTGTTCCAATGCCCGATGAGCCCTTCAGTAAAGAAATTATTCCTGATATCCAACCTGAACCTCCCCTGGTGCAACTTAAGGCCATTTCCCCTTGTCCCATCACTCACCACTGGGGAGAACGGACCAACTGCACCTCTCTACAACCTCCTTTCAAGTACTTG